GGAGAAGTTTATATGGGCATAGAGGGACAAGCTGAACGGAACAAATTCGGATGGAGGAGATACGAGGGATTGTATAACCAAACAAGTTTAAATCTTTCAAACGAAGCAGAGGGGAGACCTGATTGACGATCTGTTACCTATATGTAGCTGAACCAGCAGTAAAGTAGAGATAAGCTGCTACAATCTAGTGGAATCTCGTCCGAATTAAAGTGCACCCCCATAAACAATATATCATGAATGAGCCAGAATTTCTAGCCTGCTTAGAGATTGATATGCAGTAAATAAATTAAATTGCTATTTAGTGAATTTATTAAATATTACAGATTATTTGTATTATAATATTACAGATTATTTGTCTGTATTTGTCTGCTATTTAGAATTGTTTTTTAAAATCCCTTAGTTGGGTGAGGATTACATATGTGATTGCTGGTCAGCGTTTGCTATTCCACTGCCACAAAAAAAAAAAAAAAAGCAAACAAACAAGCAAATAAATAAAAGTATATGTGGTGTGAACATGATGCCCATTTAAAGGGACACTATAGTCACCAGAGCAACTACAGTTTAATTGTTCTGGTGTCTATAGTCCTGCCCTGCAGGCAGAGGCGTAATTAGAAACCATGGGGCCTGGTGCAAAAAGTGTCCTGGGTCCCTTCCAGACCCTCGATGTGTCTTACTCTTTCCCTCCCCAGCCCCTTGACACACACACTCACTGAGACACACTCACTGACATTCACACCGAATCACTCCAACACACACATACACTCACAGACACACACATACATTTACTGACAGACACTGAATGACACACAGGCTCCCTCAGAGACACAATCACTCACTCACTCCCTCACTCACTGACTCACAGAAACACACAATCACTCAGACACACAGGCTCCCTCACAGACACACACTGACATACACACACAAAGACAGACACACACACACAGCCATACACAACCAGACTGCCATACACACAGACAGCCATGCACACACAGCCATACAGACAGCCATACATCCAGACATACATACACACACACACACACACACACACAGACACAGACAGCCATACAGACAGCCATGGACACAGAAAGTCATGCACACAGACAGCCATGCACACAGACAGCTATACACACACAGCCATACAGACAACCAATGACACAAACACACATTTCCCCCCAACACTCATTTTGTTATTTTTTTTAAATTTAAATCCACCCAGCCTCCATTCCTTTGGGAGAGCTGGGTGGATTTCTTACCTGGGGTATAGTGGTGCTGCTGGGCAGGCTGGCATGCAGGCTTGTGGCGGACAGGTGGCGAGGGAGCGCTGAGTGTAAGCTCTCCCTGCTCAGCGTGCTGCAGAGTGATGCCAGGAGTCGGAGTGACATCATATTACTGCGGGGAGCTGAGTAGGGAGAGCTTAGACTCAGCGCTCCCTCGCTACGGCTCGCGGGGCCGCAAACATAATAGTTGTGAGCCGCAAGTTTTACATGCATGACTTAAGGTATTAAACTTGGGGTTGTTTGACTCTTGTCATGCAACCATTTTACCACCAATCTATGCCAAATTAAAAAAAAGAAAATTGGTGATTAACCCAATATGTGTTCAGCAACCTCCATAAAACCATATATTTTTGAAAAGTAGACACCCTAGGGTATTTCAAATGGTGGTATTTTAATACATTTAATGCACTAATTCTATCACTAGTCTTTGTCAACCTTTTGAGTAGTCATTTTTTGTGTGTTATTTTTCTATCACATTGTACTTTAGGCATGGATTCTCAGTTCCTGTTATGTGTTACTGACAAAGAACACCCCAATATGTGTTCAGCAACATCTCCCGAGTACAACACTGCCCCCAATGTACAAGTTTTATGGGTTTTTGCAAACTTACACGGATCAAATGTAGGGCTTTCCCCTTTTCCATCTTTGCACATTGAATATTACCACATTGGTTAGCTGTGCCTATGTTGCCTTTGAGACCGTATAGCAGCCCAGGAATGAAAATTAACCCCATCGTGGCATACCATTTGTAAAAGTAGACAAACCACGGTATTCAAAATGGGGTATAACCAGTCTTTTGTAGTAGTCACTTAGCCACAAACGCTTGCCAAAGTTAGCATTCACATTTGTTTTTTACATTTTTTTTACACAAAAACTGCACTTTTACTGGTGATTTCATTGTTGTGATACGGTTTACTGTTTTAAACACTCATATTTGTGTTCAGCGAAATCTGACGAGTATAACAATGTGCAGGTTTTATGGTGTTTTGGAAAGTTACAGGGTCAATATAGGGCTTGCCCAATTTAGTTTGCCAGAGTGGTTTGCTGGGTCTGTGTTGCCTTTTGAGACAATATGGTAGCCCAGGAATGTGAAATAACGACATCATGGCATACCATTTTCAAATGTATATAACCCAGGGTATTCCAAATGGGGTATTTCCAGTCTTTTATAGTAGCCATTTAGTCACAAATGCTGGCCAAAGTTAGCATTTTATTTGTTTATTATAAATGGGTTTTTTTTTCAATTGATTTTATATATGTTAAAAGGCCTGTGACAAATCTCTCTGTCTTGAACTTACAGGGTCTTATTCTTCATTTGTTAGTTTAATTCGTGTTTTCTCGTTCATGTGGACTCTATACCGTTCCCTTTTTAACTACTGAATAAAACTCCCGAACGGCCGGCCACCCAGTAGAGAAGTGTGCTGCTGGTTAACCTCTTGGCCCCATTAGAACATTGAGGTTAACCGCAGACACGTCTTAATTGATGCCTGTAGCTGGGTGGCCGCCATTCGTATCCCGAACACGAGGTCGCGGCCATTTTAGTTCCACGAACGCTCAGCGGTGTTCGGTGGTAAACTCATGGAACTCAAAACGGACACTTTTTTAGCACGAACACCGCTGAAGCCGCCGACCTCCCTTCTCCTTCGGTAGAAAACACACGAAGGTCCCTGTATTCGGTATTTTGTCCGCGAATAGAAGTATTCGTATGGATTACGCTTGTTCAGCTGGTTGGGAGACTTATTGGTTTGTGTGATTGCTGTTCGGCAGTTTGGAGCGCTCAGTGGCTACCTCTGTATTCGGGAAGGGGACGTCCAATACGGCTGTAACCCCTCTCCTACCGTGGGAGCCATAACAAGGCCACTAGGCCTGTATTTGTGGGAGGAGTTATGTCCTCTATTTAAACCCTGAGCATCTACTCACCTCTGCCGTTCCCGCTGATTGAGTCCTTATAGCAACCAACACTTCCGGTTCGAGATACCCAGCAAAAGTTTCTGTTTCTGCAGCATCCACTGCCTCTGACCTCCGGTCCTTCCGCCGGCTTCTGCAAACGAGACCCGGCACATACATGTAAGTGCCACGTGGGAAATAACTTTCGGTTATTTCCCACGTTCGGGCCTAAAAACACGGGGATAGACTCCCTTCTTATTTCACTTACCCAATCGTTTAGTTCATCCATTCGTTCGGCAAAATTTTGTCGACCGCTGTCTGTATAATTCATACGAAATCCTAGTACACTTGTTAGTATCTTACTATACTATTCATACATACGAACGGTCCAATCGCTTAGCTTACTGGTCTTTCACTCATTCGTTTCTCATTTATTCGTACAATTACTAATTGTTCTTTCGTTTCATTAGTTCACCTAGTCTTTCATGTAAATCATTTCATTAAATCATTTGTTTGATCATTCATATGTTAACTAAGCTGCCGCATGTATTCACTCCATTTCCTCTTCTAAATTTAAAGGACTAAGCACTTTATCACCTCCACTCCAATTTATTTAATAATGTTTGCTATTTATCAGGACAATTTAGATCCTCCCCTGGTACTCCCTAATCCACTCTGTCCTAGCATCCATTAAAAAAGACATACTGGATGGAAAGGATGTCAATTTGGTTTCCCTCCTTATTGCCTCACAGGATATCCTGGAGAACAGAGCCTACAACTATGGCGACATTTCAGTGGTGTTGAAAACCAGAGGCCCTCTTCTCAACAAAAAATTGTCCATCCCTCAATTCGTCATTGCATTTGGTATTTATAGAGACGATATCTGCTCTGTGTACCCGCATAGAAGGGAAGAACTGGACTTATACATGCATAAAGTGGTTGACTTAGGTATCAAATACGGGGTTCCTCATTTTACGACTATCATAAGTCCGTATCGGCCAAGGCAGCAACTCATCTGGCCCAGTTTAACATCCGGATACACTGGTGCCAAATAGATACAGAGTTGTTCTGCCGACACTTTGCCGGCTTGAGGCCCCCGTCCTGTGCAGTGTGTAGTTCCACTTCAATTTCCACTGATTTGTGCCCCTGTGAGGCAGATCCCTCCTCTTCCCACCATACCTTCAGCTCCAACACAAGGCAAGAAAGCGGTCAGAGGGACAAACTGGGCAGACCCATTGTGTTTCTCGGCAAGGCGCAGGTGTGCAACAATTTCAATGCTGGCGCCTGCAGCTACAGTGCATGCAGGCTGTTGCACATCTGCTCCATTTGCTTCAGAGCTTACACTAAGCCTGTGCCCAGCCAGGCTTTCCCCCAAGAAAAGACTAACCAAGGTTAACATAGACATTTTGGCCTACTACCTTCGCTCTCATCCCGCCATTCACGTAGTGGATTTTTTGGTGTCAGTGTTCTCACACGGGTCTCATTGCCATCCCACAGGCCCCTTAGAATGCCCTAATCTGTTGTCCGCCTCCAACGACACTCCTACAGTGGACCACCTCCTATCCACAGAAATCCAAGCAGGATTCATGATTGGTCCGTTTTCAGAACCCCATTCTCTTCATGGCATACAAATCCCATTGGGGTAGCAGTAAACAAGTATTCCAATAAAAAACGCTTGATAATCGATCTTTCAGCTCCTCATTCTTTACACATCCCCAGCATTAACTCACTCATACCCGCTGAAGAGTTTTCACTCCAGTACGCCACCATAGACAACGCCATGCAAGCCATCATACTAGCAGGCAGTCGAGCATGGCAGAGTAAAACGGATATCTCTAATGCTTTCAAACTCCTACCTATTCACCCGTCACTATGGCACATACATGGCGTACAATGGAGAGGCAAATACTATTTCACAACACAGCTCACGTTTCTAGGAGCAGCCCTACACTATTTGATATCTTCGCAGAAACACTCTGCTGGCTGCTCCTGAACATAATCAGGTGTCCATCAGTCATTCACTATTTAGACTATTTCTTGTTGATAGAAACAGGCTCCCACGCACCTGGCAGCATTCACAGCACCACAGCCCTCTTCACATCCCCTGTCCCCAGACAAAACACTGGGGCCCACCACCAAACTAGTCTTTTGGGGTATTTCACTGGACACAGTTTCCTTCCAAGCTAGCCTCCCACAAGAGAAATTGGCCCGCATTAGAGAGAAAGTAGTTCTATTCCTTTGGAGTGATATCTGCACAAGGAAAGGACTCCAATCTTTATTGGGGTCCCTTAACTTCGCCATGCAGATCATTCCACAGGGCAGATCATTTGTCTCAAGGCTGCTATTTCTCCTACACGGGGTACCCGACACAGGTACTATTACCATCAACTCACCAGCCAGGGCAGACTTGCTCATGTGGAGGAATTTCATGTTTGAGTGGAATGGAGTCTCCCTATTCATTCCCCCACTATCCAATCAATCTCCAATAATTCACACAGATGCAGCAGCACACACTGGATTCGCCGCAATATTTGGCGACCACTGGTTTAGGGACAACTGGCCCACGGAGACGGCTGCCTTGCCGGCCTTTAGAGAAACATCTGCCTTATTTGAAATTTACCCCATTGTGGCAGCTGCCCATACCTGGGGTCATCTCTGGACTGGTAAGGTAGTTAAATGCTACACTGACAACTCAGCAGCTTGCGAGATCATTCAGGGCCGATTTAACATGATGCAGCTCCAGGCCCAAGCCCATGGAATAGGCCCATTGATATCCACACTACTCTTAGGGTTGCCAGGTATTTCTCGGGTATTTCTTAGGGTTGCCAGGTATTTCTCAGAAGTACTTGAGGTTGCCTAGCCTTTGCCGGTATTGTAGTATTACCGGCAATACAAATGTCAGTATGTCAGTATAAACAGAGATTATTCTGCAATACCAACGTCAGCCAGTAGGGGTCACTGTGTGTGTGGAGAGAGGCAAGGATAAGAAGTTACAGCATCTCCCTCCCTGCTCTCTACTTACTGATCCATGGGGAGCAGCTCTGCACAGAGAGTCCAGACAGCAGCTCTGAGTGTGGATGGGGGGGTAAGGCTGCAGGGAGACATGGGGACACAGGCACTAGGGGACACTTGGAGACACTAGGGGAGACATAGGGACACTTGGGAACCATGAGACACTAGGGGGCACTGGGAGAGACATAGGGACACTTGGTGACACTGAGACACTAGGGGGCACTTGGAGACCTGAGGAGACTGAGATACTAGGGGAAACATTGAGACATGGGGACGGTGAGAGACTTGGGGACACTAAGACATTAGGACACTAAGAGACATGGGGACACAGACACTAAGGGAGCATCGGATCAAGAGAGCAGCTGCTAAAATACCATTACATAGCAGCAAACATATATTGGAAGCTGCTGGTGCCTCTGGAGTCCCACGGACATCAAGGTGTAGAGTCCTCCAGAATCTTGCAACTGTGCATAAACCTTCTATTCGGCCACCACTAACCATTGCTCACAAGCAGAAACGGCTGCATTGGGCATAAAAATACATGAAGACTCATTTTCAAACAGTCCTGTTCACTGATGAGTGCCGTGCATCCCTGGATGGTCCAGATTGATAGAGTAGTGGATGGTTGATGGACGGCCACCCTGTTCCAACAAGGCTGCGACATCAGCAAATAAAAAAAACTATTTTGTACAGACTTATTTTTATATAGAATACCAGCCTCAGCCAGTATGGGTCGCTGTGTGTGTGGAGAGAGGCAGGGATAAGAAGTTACAGCCAGTGTCTCTAGTATCTCAATGTCCCCATGTGTTCTGGTGTCTCTCAGTGTCCGTAGTGTGCCAGTGTCCCTAGTGTCTCAGTGTTTCCTAGTCTCCCAGTGTCCCCATGGTGTCTGTGTCCCCTAGCATACAAGAAAAAATCTCAGGCACTCACTGTGATAGATTTAAGCAGGTTTATTGGACACTGCAACGTTTCAACCTGTACCCAAGTCTTTATCAAGTCTCCAGTGTCCCCTATGTATCACAGTGTCTCAGTGCCCCATGTCTCTGAGTGTCCCTGGTGTCTCTCAGTGTCCTTTAGTGTCTCAGTGTCCCGTAGTCTTCCAGTGTCCCCATGTCTCACAGTGCCCCCAAGTGTCCCCTAGTATAAAATAAAAAAATCTCAGGCACTCGCTGTGATACATTTAAGCAGGTTTATTGGACACCGCAACGTTTTGACCTGTACCCAGGTCTTTATCAAGTCTCCAGTGTCCCCTATATATCACAGTGTCCCCTATGTATCACAGTGCTCCATGTCTCCCAGTGTCCCCTCATGGCTCAAAGTCACCCAGTGTCCCCATGTCTCCCAGTTTCCTCAAGTGTTTGTGTCCCCAGGTCTCCCAGTGTTCCCTAGTTTCTCAGTGTCCCCATGTATCCCAATGTCTCTCAATGTCCCCTAGAGTCCTAGTGGCATGGGGACACTGGGAATCATGGGGAAGCAGACACTAGGGGACTGGAAGACATGGGGACACAGACATGCCCCCTTTTTGGGTATGTTTGCCCCTTTCGGCATTTCTGGTTATGTGATTTGCATCAGTGGCCCACCCCTTTACTCCGTCCATAGACTTCCTGCTTTACTGGACACTGCTGTTAGAGGGTGGAAGCATGATATTAAAGGTGGAAGCATGATATTAACATAGGGTATGCGTTTTCTCATAGCTGCGTCCAGCACCATCTCCATCAGAAACATGACCCTTGGGAGGCAGGACTGTTTTAGTATTTGTGGTCGATTTTGTATTTAGGCCCATCATAATTATTAGCACCAGGCCCACTGGGCTCTTAATCTGGCCCTGAGATCATTAATAAAGGACGGTCCTCCTCATTAACCATCATGAGGTTGGTCCGCAAGCTGTCATGGCTAGCAGCAACTGCACAGGTTCACCTAGTCTGTGAACACATCCCGGGCAACCGTAACACAGCTGCTGACGCTCTTTCCCGCTCTTGTTTTCAGATATTCTTCCAGTCATACCCTACTTCCCACAACCTACCATCCAGGATACCATCATTCCACTAATTAATCATGGATTGACTGAACTGCTACATCACGCACAATCACTCACGCATCACGCACAATCACGCACCACGCATTCTCAACCAACACCACTACCACTTATGGCAGGGCACTGACCATTTTCCACAAGTTTGCAGCTGAATTTCAAGTACAGGGTAATTTCTCTATAGAGACCATGGTGGCTTTTGCCTCCTTCTGCCACTTACATCTTAAATTATCACACAGCACAATTAAGCTATATCTCACAGGGGTTCAACATCACGTTCTCACCACCCTCCTTTTTTATCCTCTTACCCAATCAAGAATATCCTTAACGGTATTAATAAAACCATCGGCCCCCCTACAACTAGCAGACTGCCTATTGATGGGCCCATATTCAGACAACTTAGCGACCTCTTAGATGCCTCCTCTTTTGATTCCCAGACTTATTCTGTTATCAAAGTCGCTATATTTATTGCCTTCTATGGCTTTCTTAGACCTAGAGAATTCACTGTCATACGCCAGTCAGATGCCAACATAAGTCTTAAGCATTCTCACCTGACTAAGGTCAATGACCATTACATCCTTTCGTTGCAAACATCAAAAACAAATCACACCAATCAACCTACTACCATTCCTCTCTTCCCTACCGGACACGCGTGGCGCCCAATTAAAGTACTAGATACGTTCCTAAGTTCTCACCACAGTCACTCGCCTAACTCTCCACTACTACTACTCCACAATCACCAACTCACCACATCCAAGTTCACGTTTCACATCAGAACTCTGCTACGAAGGTTAGGCTACAACCCCTCTTCCTTCTCTGGTCACTCCTTCCGGATAGGAGCAGATTTGTCGGCATCTAGCTCTAACATGCCAGTCCTCATCATTAAGAGACTGGGTCGTTGGAAATCCTCCATTTACAATACCTATTTCCCATGACCGGAGAAAGAACTAAGACAAGCATTTAAATGCTTAGCCTTATAAGAAGCAATAAAGGGTGTGTTTTACATCATCCTTTTTGCCCTCTTTTATTACAGGCCTACCCGTTCGTTGGTTTTGGCACACCTCAGCCAACACTGCATCATCATCAACATATTCCATAACCAATTAAATTCAGAGCACAAATATATATATATATATATATATATATAATACGTTTGTGTATGTGTGTGTGTATATATATATATACATACATACACAGACACATATACATATAATACGTGTGTATATAATACATGTGTATATAATACATGTGTGTGTGTATATATATATATATATATATATACCAGTCTGTGTTGATTAGCACTCACGGATTTCCAAAATCAAGTTAAAAACTTTTAACTTGATTTTGGAAATCCGTGAGTGCTAATCAACACAGACTGGTATGTAACATTTCCCCTGATTTTGAGCACCCGGTTTGAATGATTTTTTGAAGCTGGAGTGCAAGGATACTGTGGATGGCTATATATATATATATATATATATATATATATTCACACACACTTTTATTTCCTATAAATTTATAATATATTACTGTGACGAAAGTAACCTCGCCACTTGTACTTGGAGGGGCCTGCTTGCCAGCCTCCTGCCCACGGACTATGGGCCCTGCAGGGAAACCTGTAAAAGATTACCAAACTTGACTGACTGTTAGCACTGATTTCCCTGGAACTGATTTGGGCATAGGAACATGTGCACCGTCGGTTAAAACTATGACTTCTATGAAATTCCTGAACCGATCTGGGTAATTTTTGCATATGTTGTTCACTCAGATCTGGGGTATCAGGGGATGTAACTGTTATGGGATTTTATGTGTTTTTAAGGTACTTTTGGGGGTTTTATAAAATTGTATCTTTTTCTGTGCTTGGAGATAATTGGGTTAGATTAGTACAGTTCCTGATTCAATTATCTCTTAAGCACAGAGGAGGGATTCTATTGTTTGTGTATGGGTGTGTCTCACTGTATGAATCTGTTTTTATTGGTTTATTCACTTTGTGTCCCTGTGCCCAACAAGGTCCATCTGGGTGTAACACTTGTTGGGAAACTTGCATAAAAGGCCAGTGTGCCTCCATTAAAATTCTGTTCCTGCTTACCCTCAACATAGAGTCTCATCTAATGTGTGGGGGAAACGGCTGTATCTATCATGGGGATTGCTACATCACTATACTCCCCAGGAATTATAATCACTAGCTCTTATAAGAAGAGCTGTTCCTGCTATGCTCTCTGGGAATAGGAGAGGTCTGCCCACTGGAAGCTAGATCCCGGTCTTGGGTCCAGTGTGGGTGAAGGACAGCGAGACCACGGCGCAACTGCATCGCTGGAAGTGGGGTCTGTAGTGCTTATGGTGTCTGGTGGAGTGCTGGAATTCCTCGGTGAGCACTAGGAGCATCGATTAGCGGAGGGTCTCGGTCGGAGTGCCAGGTGGTCAGTCACAATTATAATTAAGGCATTTTATAATATATTATACATATATAATGCATATATATGATTTCATTATAAGTGTATTTTGAGATATATATATGTATATATCTCAAAGTACACTTATAATGAAATCATATATATGCATTATATATGTAAAGAGAAAAATCTGAATGAGGGTCAGCGCTAACATGCCACAGGAAATATGGAGAAAATGTAGGCAGCACACCTATAGAAAGAGGGGTCCCCTCTTATCACCCCCAAAATAAATGTGATAAGAAAATAACAAGAAAAGAGGGGTGCGCCTTCAAAGGATAGTATTATCGTAATATATTTATATTAAGTATCTAAAATAATTTTTAGGAGTATATTTGTAAAAATATAAGTTTGGAATTAAACAGTAATAGTAAATAATTGTCCGGGTAACTTAGCACTGGTCCAAACAAGGTCATTCATAAACACTAGGAAAAGTTATTTTTAGGCCAACACATGGGATGGGTGGTCACGAGTGGAGGCTTGTACTCCGATGGAATATGTAGAAAGGAAACACAAGAAAGAGAGCTCCAATGGTATCGTATACAAAAAACACTGGGTACTTAAAGTGTAATATTGACTACTCACAATATCCAGAGCTTAAATCCAGCTCTGGTGTGGAATACGTGAAGTGGAATAATCCCCACTCAAGGATATACAGGATTCCTCAGGTTTCCAGGAGTAAAGGGTTTTTCAGGTTACCAAATATGGCAGAGTAGTATACCCAAAAGAAAAGGGATAATAGAATATAGTGCTCACTGTATCTTTACGTAAAAGAATAAAAGTATGAAATGTACTTACAGTATACCGAGCAGGCTCACTGCTCGGTCGGTGTATAGTGTATGGGTGGTATAATCCCCACCTAGGGATTCTTTATCCATTAAGGGTATACGTTGCTTGTGCATTCTTTATGCCGAAGTGAATAACTTTGCATTTTTCAACATTAAATTCAACATCTGGCATTTGAGTGCCCAGTCCCCCAGTCTATCTAAATCCCTCCGCAGCAAAGTAATATCTTGCTCACATTGTATTACTTTACACAGTTTTGTGTCATCTGCAAACACTGAAACGTGACTTTCAATGCTTTTTTCAAGATCATTTATAAACATGCTAAATAGCAGGGGTCCCAGAACAGAACCCTGAGGGACACCACTTGCTACTGCTGTCCAGCTTGAAAATTTACCATTATTGACAACTCTTTGTACTCTAATTTTATAGAAGGGGGCAACAATAGGTATCATCCATAAATGTATACAGCACGATTTAAGCCACAGTAAACAGAAAGGAATATATCTCTATTATCTCTTTTAATACATGCCAAGCACATTAATTAAACAGCTACACAGTATTAGGTAGTTTTAAACAAATAGTCCAGTGGATCCACCCAGTATTAGTTGTAATGCTCCAATAGTTCCATATATAAACAAAACAGCCCCTTGCACTTAAAAAGAAAAAAAATACGTTTTATTGAAGGAGCTTGGAAATGTACAAAACATAAATAAGCAAAAAAAGAACAAAATTAAAAAATAATCAATCAAGTTTACATAAATCAAAGTTCATTCTACATGTATCAAAAGCAGAAAACATTTATTCCAAGAGAAAGGTATTGGTTGGATCTCGCCATACAAAATGTGATATATCCTGGCACAAAACATCCAAGTTAGCTCCTGTGGTCATCCACCGTGTGGAAATTGATATATAATCCTGGGCATAAGAGTGAACCTGGACTTTGCAGCAATGTCTTAGGCAATATCCTGTACTGCGGTAATATCTTGGCCAATCCTGGTTTCTGGTGCAAATCCTGGGCTGCACGCTCGGGACTCAACTGTCCCTTCGAAGGCCCTGGTTTATTGAAGCGTAATCAATGAGCTTATATACCTAATTCTGGGCGGCTTCATCTTCGTTCAGGGAGGGGCAAGAGCTCTTTGGCTGGCTAGGTTGTCAGGCAGCTTACCGGTGTTCCCCAAGGGCCATTCCTGTGGGAACACTCGGTAAGCTAACATATTAATTTGTGCTGCACATTTATACTCTGCACTGTTCATTACTAGCCCTGGGCTGTCATATATACTGGTACTGCCCCCTTTTGAATGCTGTCCTTCATCATCTGGCTCTGGGTTTCCTTCCTAAATCAGCCCTAGTTATACCATATTGACAGGATTAACCCCTGACTACTCCCTGTACTATAGCCATTATGCAAACCCCTTCTGATATGCAGGCTGCTGCTCCTAATGCCTCTGTTAAGCCCAGCAGACACTGCATATCCTCTGTGTCCGCGGGTCCTACCACCCCTGGTGGGGTAGAGTAAGCATCCCAGGAACACATGAAGTCTGAACAGTTTCAATCGCTCCTGGATGATACCATGAGCAAATCAGTTACCCAAGCCATTTACACAGCCATGAGAGTGATGTCACACAACATGTCCCACTCCATTTCTTCAGCTATCATGGCATCTGGCCAGGCCTCCTTGCGGCCTCTGATAATAAGCCGATGGTGCCTAGTGGCCGCAAGGCTATGAACAAATCCCACCATGTGACAAAAATTGCCTCCAAAAATGATTTGACGGACAGGTTGCGCCCTGTTGATATTGAGGACGCGGTGCTCCCAAGTAGAAGAGCCCACCATCGGGCAAAAGCGGTGCAGACTTGGAAGTGGTGCGGAATACCTGATTCGTCCGACTCCTATTCGGACTCGGAGGAGGTTTCAGACGGGTCCGATGCCATCGACCTGGTTTACTCTGAGGACTCTTCTCCCGAACACAGTGTGACTGCACCAACAGCTATAGAAGCTAGACAGGAGGCGTTCTATCTTAGACCCTCAAGTGGAACCCCTTTTTGACCCTTATGCCCTGCATAACCCTCGATTGGCTGACTGGTACCCCAATGACCATGTGGCCAAACACATCGCAAATAGGGTTAGAAAGCCCCCTAGATAAGGCCACGAGAAGTAAACTAAGAGCAGAGTGCCCACGCCCTATGGTTCTTGACATGGCCTGTGTTACCCCGAAAGTAGATCCTAAGAGGCCAAAAAGGGACTAGACTATTCCCTGCGACACTGTCAAGACAAAGTACTAGACGTGTTAGAGCCTGTAGCCAAGATATTCGACATGGTCGAAGCAGCCCTGACTGAGGGAACACCCACAGACCTGTTGGCCATCAGAAGATGGATCCAGAGGTCCATATGTCTAATTGGCAACGCTAACACCACATTGGCCACCGAACGGCGAAAACCATACTTATGAAAATTGAGCCAAAACTCCTAAACATTGCAATATCTGAGCCTGGCACACAGGCAAAAGGTCTCCTGTTTGGGGACGATTTCGTAAAAGACCTGGGCAAATATGTCAGTACATTCATGACACTAGACAAAGCACAAATGAATATGAATTGGGTGTTCTCCCAGAAGGTTTTCCGTGGGGCCGTCTGTCCTGCCGCTCCTCTCGGACTTCGTCCCGGGGATATCGAGGTTCCGCCACAATGAGGTTCCAACCTCCAGAACCCAGAGTACCATCACAATTATTCCCGACCAGGGGCAGGTGGTGGCAACCCCATGGAACCAGGGGATCCTCCTATGGCCGTCAGCCTTATGGTGAGTTATTTTCCATCACACACCCTTTCTCTATCATTTGTGGGGGGCAGATTATCCCATTTTATCAATGCATGGCACAAGCTAACATCACATGTTTGGGTCCTATAGACCATTCTGTGTTATCACATCGAATTTGTACAGCAACCGATCCAATTCTCACTACCACATCAGATTGTTTTTTTTCCCCACAAGACAAAGGTCTAGTATCAGAAGAGATTCGCACATTAAAAGAGAAAAGGTGCAATCTACTAGGTTCCGGCTACCGCTCCAGGTTTCCTAAGCAACATATTCTTGGTACCTAAAAAAGGTGGTGGTATGAGACTGGTAATCAATCTTCGGCCCCTCAACGCCTTTGTCATGTACCATCATTTCAAGATGGAAGGGATACACTGCCTTTGGGACCTCCTCAGGCTGGGAGATTGGATGGTCAAACTCGATCTCCAGGTCGGGTACCTCACGATTCCGATCGCCAAAGAGTGTCAACACATCCTTCAGTTCCAATGGGAAAAGACTATGTGGCACTTCCAATGCCTCCCGTTCGGCCTGTCCTCAGCCCCGTGGTGTTTCACCAAGTTGCTGAAGCCGGTGGTCGCTCTCCTATGCAGCGGAGGTGTCCGTATGATCATATACCTTGACGACAAAGTCCACGACACCCAGTTACTGAGTCAACATCTCTCCTGGGTGCTGTCCCTCTTTCAAAATTTAGGTTACTTTATCAACTGGGACAAGTCAATCCTGCATCCTTCCCACACCATGGAGTTTTTGGGATTCAACATAGATGCTATTCACTGAACGCTCAGCTTACCTAACATAAAAGTGAAACACATCAAGAAGAAAATCCGGCAGACGCTGGAACGACCGGTCTTGACCTTGCGACAACTCACGAGGATAATCTGCCTTCTCTCGGCCTCCATTAAGGCAATTTTTCCAGGACCCCTCCACTACAGAGCCCTGCAACAACTCAAAGCCACGCACCTATGCTTGGGTCAGTCTTATTCCGATTCTGTTCCACTAGATTGCTCGGCGGCTTCAACACATGGAAGCATGGAACGGCAGGGCAATCTTTGGAACCACCCCAGATCTCATCACAGAATCTGATGCGAGCAGAATCGGCAGGGGTACTCGTTGTGTTCCCACATCTACAGGTGGAAAATGGTCCTCACAGGAAAAGGAACTTCACATCAATGGTCTGAAACTCCTGGAGGGATTGTTCGCCCTTCGGAGACTCCTCGGGGGCACAACCAATTGAGATATTGGACAATATCTCGGCCATCCGCTACATCAGCCATCTGGGTGGCACGAGATCCACCATATTAACGAACCTGGTGAAAGAGTTTTGGCACTTCTGCCTGAATCGCAACATATCGGTACAAGCGGAATACCTTCCAGGATTATCCAGCATCGTAGCAGATTGGAATTCCAGGCATCTACAAGATAACAGTGCCTGGCGACTGAACCGCACAATATTCCAGTGGCTCCAACAACTGTAGGGCCCAATGCACCTCAACCTCTTCGCCTCCTGATTGAATTCTCAACTTCCATCATTATTCAGCTGGAGACCGGAGCCAGACACCCTGGCGGTGGATGCCTTCCTACAACTCTGGCCGGACAAACGGCTATATGCTTTTCCTCCCTTCTCTCTAATAGCTCGGATCCTCCTACGTCTACATCGCTCCCGAGCGTCACTGGTATTGATAACACCGTTCTGGATGGCACAGCCTTGGTTCCCTTCACTCAGGGAAATGTCTATCGACCTCCCCAGACTAATACTTTCAGATCCCGATGAAAACTCTCATCCACTTCTGGTTCAGGGACACCTCAGATTCCGGGCGTAGCTCCTCTCCGGGGACCTTGGGTCATGCCGAACGTTTCACAAGCAACTCTGGACTTATTGGCAGGAGCTTGGGCCCCAGGAACAAGAAGATCCTAAACCCATGCCTGGAACACACGGAGTGGTTGGTGCATGGAACAACACGCGGATCCCATACGTGCTTCTATAAACCAAATCTTGAGTTTCCTTACTGGCCTCTAGGATCAAGGCTTGGCCTACTGCACGATAAACGTGTATAAGTCAGTGATCTCAGCTAGTCATAGCAGATTGGATGAGTTCCCGGCTGGGAAACACTTGCTGGTTTGTCGCCTTCTACGAGGCATTAGATTTGCACGTCCACCACAGCCCCGATACATGGCTTTATGGGACGTCAACCTGGTTCTTTATGTATTGGAAGATTGGCCTACGAACTCGGACCTTATGCTCAAACAAGTGCCTGCAAAATTGGCTATGCTCTTGTGTTTAATTTCCTGTAAAAGGGTGTCGGATGTCCAAGCTCTGGATATCGATGCACGTTACTTTACTCCAAACTGTGTTTTATTTAATATCACCAGACGTACAAAATCGAAGATCACTTCAGTCTTCTACCCCTCTTTTCCTCACAATGCTAACCTCTGCCCGGTGGCATGCCTCCAAGAATATGAGCTACAGACCCAGTCATTCAGGAAACCAACACACCACGACCTGTTCCAGGCTTCGAAGCAACCTCATCACCCAGTATCCACGGTGACTCTGGCACGGATAATGTCAGCTGCTAACATTGACACATCAGTTTACGGAGCTCATTCTACCAGAGGCGCTATGGCTTCAAAAACATTCACAGTGGGTTATAAACTGGAAGATCTTCTCCGCACAGCTGACTGGTCTTGAGATTCAACTTTCAAAGAGTACTATTTTCATCCAGCAGAACACATCTCTGCTATGGTTATTTCACAGCTTTAAACTAGCCTAATATGAGCCTCCGTGTCCAGTAATAAAATGATCAAATTTTACTAATTACATGACGTAAAAGCGAGTATTAGCCCACCCAAAACACAGGTAAGTCGCACGTTTTTGTCTTCCCACCCAATATCGACAGCATGTATGATTTGCCTAGACTTTAGTGTGGGTTGCCGAATACTTAGAATGATTTGTTTCTTTGCTGGACTCACGGTGACATATCAATTTTATAAACTTTTAATTGTCACAGTTACAAATGTATGACATCAGTATTTGAACATATTTTACCACATGTCTCTCTGTCTCCTACAGCTTAAACCTTTACAATGGGTCAATCTGGATAATTTTTCTTCTCCTGCTTGCAATGGAGAATGCTCCCTAGAGCCCTCTACCAACGGATCATGTCTTCGCTTCTTTCAGAAGTTGGAATCTTGGTCATGTCGAGTCAGTTGTTCCAGTTGGTCATTTATTGTTGACGTTTTCAACTTCGGCATCAAGAAAGAGGGGGAGTGGCTTAGGTCACATGAGAGTATTTGGAACAAGGACTGCTCCCATTGGTTGAATGTGTTATATGGTTAACCCTTTAAGGGGTATTTGTTTTTTATATTAATACCTTAATACCCTTTCTTTGCTGCTGAGGAATAAAGAAAGAGATAAGCCTAATACTCGCCTCCGTGTCCTTTAATAAAATCATGACTTTATGTCATGTAATTAGTAAAATCTGGTAATTATACACCCATCATACCAGAGCTGGTCTTAGCTCTATAAAACGTGAGTAGGACCATATAAGACTTGCACTTTAAAAGTACCACAAAATATTGGAACATATTGCACTATTGGCTTCCTTCTTTGTTTTATTTTGTATTTCTATATGATTACCAAGAAACTTTGGATCTGGTAACCCTATAGAATAGGATGAAAAGACTCCTCTATGAGATTTGGCTGCTACCTTTGCCAGTTTACACATTGACTTTGGACTTTTTTATTTGCTACTTGTTATTTGTTTTAGTATTTTAATATTTTAAACATGTTTGTTCACAATTGCCGCAACCTTTTCCTGTTTTACTGCATTATTCTCATACATGTGTGCATCACTTAGCTAATATTATTATTAAACTATTTGTTCTACTTCATGATCGTATGTATATTGTATATAGTCTGCACATATGCACAAGTGATAACATGACACATACATACATGAGCAGGGATGGCATCTCATTTCCCTTAAATAGCAACAATTGTGCTAGGAATACATTTTTTTATTTCTGGCACTATAGTACCCTATAGTGTCCCCCATGCTCGCCCCCCTCCCTCAGCACAGAATGGGATAAAAACCCTTCTGCCACTTACCTGAATCCAGCGCCGATGTCCCTCATAGAGTGTTGAGTTCACACATGCATTACAAGAATAAAGGATATTTATCGAAGGTAAACCGGTGCTATTTTCAGTGCAAACTACTAAATGTTGACAGACATTCTATTAATTTATAAGTTTGTTTATTTAACACTTTTTCCCAGAATTGCAGCTATTTTTACTTTGATAAAGACGATTTTCACCTTAATTGCTGGCTACATTTGTGTAATTAAATTCATTAGGGATGACCACAGACCTAAATTCATGCGTTGTTGGTATTGATGACATATATTTAAGCGGGAGCGTGGCCGGAAACCGAGGTGAACGGACGCATGGAGTGAGAGCTCCCGGTCCGAAACAGCCTAAAGCAAGAATATATAGCAGAAAACAACCCCAGAGAACGAATAATCACTTGCCTGATACTTCCTTCTACCAATAATGGCTCCGGCGAAGCAAACAAAACTGACGGACCACATCCGCACCTCTAAAAAAGACAACGAGACCACGAGGCAGTTCAATACACAGATGCTCCGGTTACAGAAAAAAAACTATACGCATTGCTACAAGATTTTAGAATTACCTTGCAATCGGATTTAAAGAAAGCAACCATCGATATCAAGAAGGAGATAGCTGAACTCGGAGAGAGAACAAACAATCTAGAAGCATGCACAGATGACATATACTCGGCACACGACACCCCAGCGCACACCGTCCAATCCTTTGCAAAGGAACACCAGTTTGCAAAGGAACACCAGTTCCTAAAAAGGAAACTAGCAGACATGGAAGACCGCTCGAGGCGGAACAATGTCCGCTTTCGTGGAATCCCAGAGAGCGTGACCAGAGACCAGCTCTCAGATTATCTGACATCACTCTGCAAATCCCTGGTGGCCGATCTACCTGAAACTGAATGGCTAATGGATCGGGCTGACCGTCTGCCGAAACCACAAAGACTCAGCGCGGAGACCCCACGAGATGTGGTAGCGCGCTTTCATTACTACAGAACAAAAGAAACACTGCTTATGGCGGCGAGGAAACAACCCAATATACCGGAACCCTACTCTGGTATCCAGCTATATGCAGACCTATCGGCACTTACAATGGGCAGAAGAAGAGACTTTATCACTATCACAAAAACCCTCAGGAACAACGAGATACAATACCACTGGGGTTAACCGACTAAATTGCTTATCTGGAAGAATGGAAAAACCCACGTCGCCAACGAACCGGAGGTGGGAATGAGGCTACTGAAAGAATGGGGCTTATTCCCGCTGAGGACACTGACTGACTCTACCACCGCATCCCCGAAACGCACGCACAGAGAGTGGAAGTTGGCGGACTCGCCTAACAAAGCCTGAGAAGCTCTATAGGCCTCGAGCTCGGACTACCCTTAAGGCCTGAAAATCTCCAAATTTACCACCTTGCATATATATAAAAACTGATGTCACACTATGGCGCTGTGTTTGCTCAGACCACTAGATCGTGAGTATGATAGTTAATGCAATGCGCACCATGTATAAATGCCTATAACCTTGCTTGTGAGGACAAACTGTGGAGAGCTTTGCTCATATCCAATAGTATTTACGAAATGTTTGCAAAGGTATAGCGCAAGCAGATACAGATGTTATGTATGGAATGCTACATGTGGTACATACTGCTATCAAGAGTAGAACGCAGGGGAGGGAGATTAAAAGGGCCGCACACAGAGGGCTGCCGAGGCGAGGCCGGTGGACATTTAATACGACAACGCAAATTAATGCTTTCAGTGGGTTAGAGTAGATGTCAGCATGACATGCGAAGCTACAGGTCAAGCTTCCACCAGACAAAAAACGCAAAGCATCGGGGAGGGACAATACAAGCTTACTAACAAGGCTGTAAACACCCGGCTGGTAAAAACCAGGCACGACCAAGGTTGAGAAGTGGGTTAGGTATGATTCTCCCGCTCACATCTCACCCATGTAGAGCGCTAAATGCTTTAGTTTTCCCCTCTTGAATTCTTATCCCTGTTTCAATGTCTGTTTCCATAGTTACCTCCCCTTGGCGCAGCCCACCATCTTTCGCTCCACCACCTCTTCCCCAAACCCTGGCCGCTTTGCAGCGCTATCACAACCTGGGAAAATGGTTGACACCTTGACCATACTTACATTTAACGTCAAAGGCCTAAATAGCCCCTACAAGAGGAGAATGACAGCACAGGAAATGGCTAAATCCAAGGCAGCAGAAGTGGCGTCACTGGGGGAGGCCAGAGGGGGCCATAGCCCCCCTTACATCATGCTGTGCTCTCCCTTGGGCCCCCCCAAATGCCGGCAACTTGCTGGCCATGTGTTTAAATTATATTCCCTCGGGCTGTAACAATCTGTGACAGCCCAAGGGAATGCAGTGCTGGGTATTGTCTGTGGCCGGAGGGAGCACTGACAGGCTCCCTGGCATAGGCCCCGCCCCCAAACGAAGCTCCGCCTCCTGCACATATGCCCCGCCCTGCCGTTAAGCAGCAGACCATGCTGCTGCTGGAAAGAATGGAAGATGGCTGTCTGACCCCCAGCAACAGCCTCCAGTGACAGGTAGGCTTGGTGTGTTTGTGTATGGATTCAGCAGAGTCTGTGTGTGTGTGTGTGTATGTGTATGGATTCAGCAGTCTGTGTGTGTGTGTGTGTGTGTGTATGGACTCAGCAGTCTCTGTGTGTGTATGAACTCAGCAGTCTGTGTGTGTGTGTGTGTGTATGAACTCAGCAGTCTGTGTGTGGACTCAGCAGTCTGTGTGTCTAAACTCAGCAGTCTGTGTGTGTGTGGACTCAGAAGTATGTGTGTGTGTGTGTGTGTGTGTGTATGAACTCAGCAGTCTGTGTGTGTGTGTGTATGAACTCAGCAGTCTGTGTGTGTGGACTTAGAAGTCTGTGTGTGTGTGTGTGAACTCAGCAGTCTGTGTATGTGTGTGTGTGTATGAACTCAGCAGTCTGTGTGTGTGGACTCAGCAGTCTGTGTGTCTGTGTATGAACTCAGCAGTCTGTGTGTGTGGACTCAGCTGTCTCTCTGTGTGTGTGTGTGTGTGTGTGTATGAACTCAGCAGTCTGTGTGTGTGTGTGTGTATGAACTCTGCAGTTTGTGTTTGTGGATTCAGCAGTCTGTGTTTGTGGATTCAGCAGTCTGTGTGTATCAGCTCAGCAGTCTGTGTGTGTGTATGAACTCAGCAGTCGGTGTGTGTGTGTGTATGAACTCAGCAGTCTGTGTATGTGTGTGTATGAACTCAGCAGTCTGTGTGTGTGTGTGTATCAACTCAGCAGTCTGTGTGTGTGTGTGTACTCAGCAGCCTGTGTGTGTGTGTGTGAACTCAGCAGTCTGTGTGTGTATGAACTCAGCAGTCTGTGTGTGTGTATGAACTCAGCAGTCTGTGTATGTATGAACTCAGCAGTCTGTGTGTGTATGAACTCAGCAGTCTGTGTGTGTGTATGAACTCAGCAGTCTGTGTGTGTATGAACTCAGCAGTCTGTGTGTGTGTATGAACTCAGCAGTCTGTGTGTGTGTGTGTGTATGAACTCTGCAGTTTGTGTTTGTGGATTCAGCAGTCTGTGTGTGTGTATCAGCTCAGCAGTCTGTGTGTGTGTGTGTATGAACTCAGCAGTCTGTGTGTGTGTATCAACTCAGCAGTCTGTGTGTGTGTGTGGACTCAGCAGCCTGTGTGTGTGTGTATGGACTCAGCAGTCTGTGTGTGTATGGACTCAGCAGTCTATGTGTGTGTATGAAGTCAGCGGTCTGTGTGTGTGGACTCAGCAGTATGTGTGTGTGTATGAACCCAGAAGTCTGTGTGTATGAACTCAGCAGTCTGTGTGTGTGTGTATGGACTCAGCAGTCTGTGTGTGTGTGTGTGGACTCAGCAGTCTGTGTGTGTGTGTGTATGAACTCAGCAGTCTGTGTGTGTGTGTATGAACTCTGCAGTTTGTGTTTGTGGATTCAGCAGTCTGTGTGTGTGTGTGGTCAGCTGTGTGCCTGTGTGTGTGTATGAACTCAGCAGTCAGAACTCAGCAGTCTGTATGTGTGTGTATGAACTCAGCAGTCTGTGTGTGTATGGACTCAGCAGTCTGTGTGTGTGTATCAACTCAGCAGTCTGTGTATGTGTGTGTATGAACTCAGCAGTCTGTGTGTGTATGGACTCAGCAGTCTGTGTGTGTGTATCAACTCAGCAGTCTGTGTGTGTGTGTGGACTCAGCAGCCTGTGTGTGTGTGTGTGTGAACTCAGCAGTCTGTGTGTGTATGAACTCAGCAGTCTGTGTGTGTGTGTGTGTGTGTGTGTATGGACTCAGCAGTCTATGTGTATGTATGAAGTCAGCAGTCTGTGTGTGTGGACTCAGCAGTATGTGTGTGTGTATGAACCCAGAAGTCAGTGTGTATGAACTCAGCAGTCTGTGTGTGTGTGTGTCTGTGTGTATTGACTCAGCAGTTTGTGTGCCTGTGTGTGTATGGACTCAGCAGTCTGTGTGTGTGGACTCAGCAGTCTGTGTGTATGAACTCAGCAGTCTGTGTGTGTGGACTCAGCAGTCTGTGTGTGTGTGTGTGTGTGTATGAACTCAGCAGTCTGTGTGTGTGGACTCAGCAGTCTGTGTATGTGTGTGTATGAACTCAGCAGTCTGTGGGTGTATGGACTCATCAGTCTGTGTGTGTGTACTCAGTCTGTGTGTGTGTATGAACTCAGCAGTCTGTGTGTGTATGGGCTCAGCAGTCTGTGTGTGTATGGACTCAGCAGTCTGTGTGTGTGTGTGTGTGTGTGTATGAACTCAGCAGTCTGTGTATGTGGACTCAGCAGTATGTGTGTGTATGAACTCAGCAGTCTGTGTGTATGAACTCGGCAGTCTGTGTGTGTGTGTGCCTGTGTGTGTATGAACTCAGAAGTCTGTGTGTGTGTGTATGAACTCAGCAGTCTGTGTATGTGTGTGTATAAACTCAGCAGTCTGTGTATGTGTGTGTATAAACTCAGCAGTCTGTGTGTGTGTGTATGAACTCAGCAGTCTGTATGTGTGGACTCAGCGGTATGTGTGTGTGTGTATGAACCCAGCAGTCTGTGTGTATGGACTCAGCAGTCTGTGTGTGTGTGTGTGTGTGTGTATGGACTCAGCAGTCTGTGTGTATGAACTCAGCAGTCTGTGTGTGTGTGTATGGACTCAGCAAAGCGATAGCCAAAACAGTCCTGGCTGGCAACTGTAAAAACAAACAGATCCCTCCGATAGATAGTATACATTCCAAAATGGACAGAATAAGCGCATACGAGAGGATGGCAAGCAAAACAAACGGATGCATAGAGAAATATGACAATGATTGGGCCAGCTGGCTCACAATACAGGGGTCTTAGCAGAGCACTTTACAAAACACTCTTATTGAACAGTACACACGGGGCCTCACAACTGATAACTGACAGATGATGTGTACAGACAGATAAACGGGGTATAGCCCAACGGGCATTACGAAGTGGAATCGGTGGACTTAGACAAGGGTCTTCCTACCATCTTACCCCCTTTCTCCTTTCTGTATCCCCCCTATTACCTAGTTAGTTAAACAAAATCAATAATGTATTTTAACCTACAAATGTGCATCACAGTATTAATCGGATGTTCTAATCTGTTAATGATTGTAACATGTTTGCATATTGTATTGAATGCCGAACAAACAGTTTCTAAGAACACTCTGTAAAACAATGCTCTCTGAGATGTACTGTCTTTGCCGAATGCATCAATAAAAACGACAAATGAGAGAGATGACATATATTTAAGCTTTTATCAAGCTTTGATTATTTTTATATTGTGCTTAAATCAATTTACAATCTAATTGTTAGCGTTTCCAACCAGTGAGGACTTTTATGTTCTCTTAATGGGGTTTGAAATATGCTGCATTTTCTAGTCACAGGTGCTTTTCTAATGTGTAGTCACTTCTAAGATCCCCCTTGTATTATAAGAAATAAAACAATAGTATCCATTTCACTCATTCAGGAGTTATTGTGTCTCAGTTAATGTAAGAGAAGAGAAAATTGTATATTTTATCCATATACAATTTATGGCTTTAAATATGAATCAATAGAAATATAATGCGAATAAGGTATATGGGTCTGTGAATTCAAATTTAGAAACTCTCTAATGCTTTTGTGGATCCTTTCGATTTTAATTTACACTTGATCACATTTTGGTTTTTTTCTCACTGGATTTTGTTTTCATGTAAATTATGTGTAATTGTTAGCATCTTTTTTTCAATTAATAAAGAATTCTAATTAATTTTAATAGTATCGCTATTGTAATCTCAAATGAATGACTAACTCTAGTGGTAATCAGCGCCAGCACTCCCTATAGTTATACTAGGCGGCCGCCTAGGGCGCTGCTTAATGGGGGGCGCTGGCTCTGGATTTATGTTTGTGCCGCGGCCGCCCTCCATCAAATTAGATTATTTTAATAGGCGCTCGGAAGCACTGACGTTGTTGCTCACTAGCGCCCGGTAGAACACAGGTCCAGAGGCATCCACCACAGCCCGCTCAGCCAGGACCCCCTCCCAGACATGTATTGCGGCAGCGCTGGGCGCTTCAATCAGGCAATGAAGGTAAGGTATGACAGAGAATGTGTGTAGGTCTGCTTCAGTCAGTATGTTTATATATGGCAATCTGTATAGGTCAGTGTGTCTGTCTGTATGGGTCATTGTGTGTGTGTCTGTATGGGTCAGTGTGTCTGTATGTGTGTGTTTCTGCATGGGTCAGTGTGTCTGTATGTGTGTGTCTGCATGGATCAGTGTGTGTATATGAGTCTGTGAGCGTCAGTCTACATAGCTTAGTACGTGTGTGTCAGTTTGCATGGTCAGTGTGTGTCTACTTGAGTCAGTGTGTGTGTTAGTCTGCGTGATTGCGTGAAGCAAATGAGGAGGCAAATTTGTTTTCGCCTAAGGCGCCAGAAATGTTTGCACGGGCTTTGGTGGTAATCTTTGGATATCTAACTCCTGTTGGAGTTGGATTTCTATTAGTTTGTTTATTTATATTTATCAATATTAAGTGCATGTAGAGGAGCTTCTGTACACTGACTGAGTACCTGCTCCAGGTCTGCTTCCTCTCTGCTACCAGAGGCTCTGGAGTTCTTCAGACCCAGTTGCCTGAGCTTAACTGGGGTCTCTGAGGACCTCTTCAACCGGATCAGGCTGCAGCTCTGTCCTTCTAGGGAGGTATTGTCCCCTCTGCCTTTGCCTCTGCGCATGAGGTCCCCACCGACTGCTGAAGTTGCGGGAGGAGAATTCTGGTCCAGTGTTGAGGGGCCCAAGAGCTATAATCAGGCAAGTGAATTAAAAAGTTGGGGGGTGGGGGAGGGACAAACACTTTTAACTAATATACAAATCAAACATAAAGCAAGAAATGCTTGGAAAAGTATATAATGTTTATAAACTTACTATAAACTTGGTCCAATTGCAATATTGGACATGCTTCTCAGCCAGGGAAGTTTCTTCGGATCAAGTGAAGATAATGTTCATCTAGGTCATAAACTTCACTTGACATAAATGAAGTATATGACCCTTATACATAGTTGAAATAAATTAAAATGCATATTTAAAAACTAAAGATGCATTGAATGAAACAATAAAAAAAAAAGAAAATTGTATTTACTAAACAGGAAACTGCTCTGCAATATTCAGATGCAGAGTGCTAAAAGTGTCTTTGCCAAACTGATCTCTCTACATGAATTCTGCACGATATGTTGGAAGCAAATCACGAAGAACACTACTTTTTGTCATGATCCAAACCTTACACTTATTCCACTAAGACTCTATATGTTGTGTGAGGGTAACAGTTGTAGAAACGAATTGTAAATTTGGATCACTGAGACTGACATGTTCATTACTCAATTTCAGTGCCTGTTGACTATTGTTGTAGGCAGCTTGGGAATCACTGTGCACCATCAAACCTAGGCAGATCTCATGTCAAATAATAGGAAGGAGAGTTTCAGCACTTCTGTTAGAAACAACTTCCATATACACAACAGCTGACATTGTTGCCATGTCCACAATCCCAAGAACCTATATTTCGCAGGGCACAGTCGCGATGGTACTTTATTTTATGACTAAAACAAGACTCATCAACTTAAGCATAATGACCGGGGCCACCAAGCAAAACTGAGTTAGTAGGAATATAGACACTACAGACTCCATGATAAAAGTTATAAACATTAACTACAGTGCGTTTGGATATTCCAGTCAGTTGTGCAACTTGTTTTTCAGAGGTTTCCAAACACCAGAGGTAAGTAATGTCACCTTTTCAGTGAAATGTGCCATTTTTCAAAGAAAGAGCAGTTTCTGATAGGTAATCACAATGATTTCTCTTCACTTCAATCTTCACTTGATCCGTATCTTCTCCCTCCCCTCCCTCTTATCGACCCATTTCAGACCAGTCCACTAAGGAGAGAAAGAGGGCATCATTTGTGCAGCAGGAGAGAGAAACCTGATATGGAAGCCTGCTGTGTATGATCACACTGACTGGACTCCCTCTCTTCTCCTCCGTCAGGATGTTGCAAGGTGAAGAGATCTTCCAAATGCACATGAGTAAATCTGGCAGCGGTGATTAATGCACGTTTTCAACATTCCTAGGGATAGGGGACTGATTGGTTAGAATCAATGTCCCTCCTGAAGTTCGTGTGGAAATCAAAAGAAAGAAGAAGCAGGCCAAGATGAAACAAAAATTATATTTACCTGATTTTTTTCAGGCATTCACGTCGATTATTGGTCTTGATAAAGTGTTATACAATACACATAGGTGTATATTATCCTGGAGTCAGCTCTGCTTGAACATGGCACCGTAATCGACTGTGGATACTGTTGGAAGTCCACCGATTGATTTTAAAATGAAAACTAAAGCAGCTTTGATTTTACATTATGGAGCATGGGTGGTTTCTTCTTGTTGGCGTGCATCTATCTATAATATTATTATTTATAAACCGCCAACAAATTCCGCAGCGTTGTATATCAGGCATAAAATTTGAAATTCACAAATTATTGAATAACTCTGGCCTAGGCGGAATATATTTATCATTTGGCAATTTTGGCTTATAGTTTGCATTTATAGGCCGGGACACCCCTCACTCCCAAGTGTTGATACCACCCAGTATTCTGACCTCTGGTTCTATACCACAGATGTGATGGTTTGTATTGGAACGTGCCACTAACTCGTAATAGGGGGGGGGGGGGCGGACTTTTTACATCTTCTATATTCTCAAATCAGAGCATACTCAATTATGCTCCATATTTTTAAACAACTATTTAAATAACCCACTATGATAAAATGTGGTAACTAGTAACACAAGCACCGCGGTGGACAAGTGAAAAGGAAATATAGTTGGACGCAACCACCCTCCTTTACGAAGTGACGTCACGATCGCAGCAGTTGGCTGTCGGCCGGGGAGGAGCCGCCATTACTGAGTTCCGAGGGAAGCTAGAGGAAGGCGCAGGGTATATCCGCAGTGCTACCGCCGGCTGTGACCCGATCTCCGCCGTTCAGTCTCTCCAGTCCCCGTGTTGTTGTCGCAGTAGGAGCATGGCGTGCGGGGCGACGTTGAAGCGCTCGATGGAGTTCGAGGCCCTGCTCAGCCCGCAGTCTCCCAAGCGCCGGCGGTGCGTCCCTCTCCCGGGCTCCCCGACCACCCCGACCGGCCAGCGGTGCGGACACCGGCCGGAGAACCAGCAGTCCCCGCCGGCCGCAATGACCCAGATGGCGACAGACCACAGGCTCACCCCAGGTAAAGGCCCAGCTCTCTGTATAGCCTGACCGAGGCCGGATAGAGAGAGGAGAGGAGAGGAGGGGGGTGTAATGTGTTACCGGATTATTGGGGGGTGTAATGGTGGCTGGAGGCTGTGCCAGGAGGGCTCCCTTAATAGCCGGGACACACAGCTCTCCCTCCCTTACATACTGTGGCTGCATTACTAATCCCATGACGCTCTCAAGGCTGTCGACAATGATAGTGGGAGTTGTAGTCCGGCCTCCCCTGGGGATCCATCCGGGTGTTCATACTGTGCAGCCATTGTACTTTTAGTGTTTCCTTTGGCTGAGCATCATGGGAAACGTAGTGTAGAAGAGCTGCAGTACCGGAGGGCTCTGCCCAGAGATCAGTAACACAATGTATTGGCCAATAGATGCTGTGCAGCCAGACAGATGTGAGTGGCTGTGCTGTACACGCTGATGGCTATTGTCTGTCTTTGTGTCAGTCCATTTAGAATAGCTCTTTTTATTTCTGGTCTGCCAGGGTGAGGTGATTAATGCCCAGCTATTGTTTTGATGATGGGCCTCTATTGGCTGCCTGCTACATATTTCTACTCTGACCCTCCCTTTGCATATTGCAATCCTTCAACCCCCCCAAATCCCTACTTCCTTTCAGCATTTGCAGGTGGGAAGCCTGCAATCATCCTTTTCATTTTTTTTTTTTTGTATTTTCCACTTGATTGCAGTGCACAGTTTACCCCTGAGCAAAACATTTAATACATATTATCCACACACTATGATGAATAACATTTTGCATTAACCGGGTAGGATTCAACTGTAGTCCTCACCGCCTCTTCTTCCCCCCCCCCCCTTTTTTTTAAATTTGGAAACCTTCACTTTCTTCAGGAAATTTTTGTTTGTTTTTTCTGATTCTCCACTTATTCTCAGAACTACAGAAGTTACTGTATCATTTTATGACACTAGAATTTTATTGCACCAACAGTAGGTTTATTATTAAATACTATTCATAGACCACTAGACCGATTTTTCTTGTGTTCATAATTGCAATTGAGTTTTAAATATGTTAAGGATTGCATAAGTCACTGATGGATTGTATGTACATGTGGTTTATGCACCATACTTTATTTGTGTAATGTATACAATGAACAAAGCATTGAACTAAAAATCAAATGATATGCTTTATTGATCTACAATTTGCTTTACAATGGCCCTGTTCTTCCTAGATGTATTTTAAACTGATGTTCAATTGTCCAAATGTTGACCTTTAGTTTTATGTGAAACATATTTGACTGTTCACAAAATACTATTTCCACTATTTAAGCTAAAATTGCATTACTGTTTGGTTAGCTTTTAGCTAATCAACACACTATCTAGGTTTTATAAAATTAACAAACTCTATTTTGCATATTTCAAATAGAAAGGCAACTGAATTCCTTTTATCAGCTCACTCTAAGCACAATAAGTTGTATTGTTGCAAAGAGTATGGTGAAGAGAGTTAAGAAGTTCTTATATCCCTTTCCAGAGTGGTGAATAATTAGCGCTGTTTGCAAAAGTTTCTACAGCTATGAGACTAACCCCTCAGATCAGACATTAACATCAAAGAAGGCATTTTACTTCCTCTTTTGCATTCCAAGATGCATCCATAATGCAATGTGTTAATTAGGGGGAGGGAGGGGGCAGTGTATTAGAATGGGGTGAGTGTATTTGGGTCTGCATGGAGATGCTGAATGTCTGTGCAGCCTTTTGCCACACATGCTCAATAGCCTCCCAATGTTTTCCTATGGGAAAGCATTGGATTGGCTGAGATCATAAGGCGAAGAACACACTTATAGAACTTCAAAATCAACAAGATAATGTGTTTTTTTTTTTTTTTTTACAGCTGTGCAAAAGCATATATTTACCATTTCAGTCCTATTACCAACCCTTTCTTAATATGTCAAAGTAGTTGTCAAATGCATGTCTCCTTAAAATAAATTTGCTCTTTTGTTTACTTTTTTAAGCCCTATGAGTGTGAGGACATTCAGTGTCAGGCATTTTTTTTATACTATATTTTTCTAAATAAACCTACATTTCTATGAAAACTTAAGTTTTTGGGTTTGTTTTTTTTTGCGGCCCACATAAACTTTAACCTTGTTTATTTGGCCTATGTTAGCCTTTGAGTTTGACATGCTTGCTGTAAATCAATACACATACATTTAAGGGACACTATAGTCATCAAAACATCCTTGGCTTAATGAAGCAGTTTTTGTGCATAAATCATTCCTCTGAAGTTTCATCACTCAATTTACTACCATTTAGAAGATAAATCACTTTGGTTTCTGTTTATCCAACCCTAGCCACAGCTCCCTTGGCCTCTACAACCTGCATTAAAACAAAAGGGTTTTACTTTCAATCAGCTGTAACTTTAAAAGTTTTTATATCCTGCTCTATACATTTAACTTTTATTGCATACAGGATCTAGCAAACTGCAGGGTCTTGGAAACTATTAACAGAGCAGGAGGTAAGAAATTACAACTTAAAGCAACACTGTCATGGCCGAATCCTCTTTTTTTTACCCCACCTCCCGACTCCACTACATCTAATTGTCACCCCAAAGCCCTCCATCTTACCTATTTGTGCATCTTTATTTCGTGCTCAGACCTAGGTCCTGGGCACCGCCGTCTTTGTGTGGGTAGATGAAGTCCCTGTGCTCCCTGCCACTTTCTTAGCTCCCCCCCCCCCGTTCTCCCTCACTCAGTAGGACTCCCATAAGAGCATAAGAGAGATTAAAATCTCCCGAATGCCTGTTCTCGCTATGCTGTGAGTAGGGGCATGCCTATTGCCCCCACCCATGAGTGGCGGGTGGGGGCTCTAAATGAAAATGCGGGGGGAGACACCTACTCTGTGTCCCCCCTGGCTCGCACCATGAGCAATCTGTGGGGCCCTAAATGACAATAGGGGGACCTATTGTGTCCCCCCACCCATGAGTGGGGGCCTTAAAAAGTAATCCATCTTCACCCAGCGAGGGCACCGTGTAGACTGAGCCACGCAGGGCTGGGAAAGGCTTATAAAGCCTTCCCATGCCCTGCAATTTCACTTAGAGCACTCTGGTTTATTCCAAGCCAACCAATCAGTGCTCTGATAGGTAAGTTTCTACATTTACCTGTCACAGCACTCTGATTTAACCAATCAGAGTGCTGTGTCATTTTACACAGTGTGAGAAAGTTCTTTGGAATTTTCTCATGCTGTGTAATTTGACTCTTAACACCGTGATTGGTTGCTTTTCAAATTGTTCTCATTCTGTTAGTGTAATGGATCACCTGGCACCCCGACTGGGTACCTCCATTGAAGGATGCTCCTAGCCCTTCCTGAGGGCTCCAAGCCCTCTAGCCAACACCATAACCACTGTGAACTCCTTCAGAGAACAGGACAGGAACAAGCTCTTACAAGAGCTTAGCAGTGAATATAGCAAGAGAGTTTGCAGAGCATAGCAATCCCTTGTAGCAGATTCCCCCATTAAGGGATGGTACTCCAAATTGAGGGTGAAGTAGAACTGACTGTAATGGCACATACAGCCTCTTTTATTCACAATTTACAAACGTAGTACTGCCCACAGGGTTTTGAAATACAACCAATCAATTCGTACAATACACACACACTCACACACAAAATCCTCCCCTCTGCCTGTGATATAATTACTGAACACAATGGTTAATTATCACAGGCAGAGAAATACAGTTTTTACAAAATATTAATAACTTTCAAAATATACATGCCATTCACGTAAATTTTCAGAATCGGCATGCTTGAAATATACACATACTCAAAAATCAGGGCAATCGGCTCAGGGGTTAAAAAGTTAAGGGAAAGTCCTATTTGACCGACCGCAAGCACATTTTCATGCCCAAAAGAGTTCCATAGATTTGGGCTGTGCGGTCGGTCAATTTCACCCCCAAAAATTTCTAAATCCCATTCGAATGCACGAACGGGGCCGTTCGTGCAAATAACCCAGTCTAACAGTGCGTTCGAATTGTCAAACGCACTTCGATTCCAGTCGAAGTTCATAAGAAGGTAAGGGTCAGGGGTGTTCGTGCAAAAGTGTAGCCGATTTTAGTTCCATAGATTCAGTGGCACGCACCGTTCGACTAAATAAATTAAAATGGCCGCTGCCACGTGTTCGTGTCCCGAATGGCGGCCACTTCGACTGCATCCAAAGTGCTAGTTTAAAAGTACACATCCTTTCTCTGAGAGTTAAAGGGCCAGCAGCAGCACAATAAAAATCTATTATGCCCAAATCAGTTCCTACAAGGGCAGTACATCTCAGGGCCATAGTCGGAGGGCAGGAGGCTGGCAAATAGTCTTCTCCAATGCCCAGTGGCGAGGCTGGTTCTGCCACAGTTAGGACCAAACTTGGTAGTTTCGCTGGCATTCTGCCTAAAATGACAGGACGTTTGTGAATACTGACAGGAAGCATCGCAAGATAACGGAGGAAAGGTAAGAATTGTGGGAAAATTTTTGACCACAGGAAACGGAGCACACTGGTCATAGATGGTCAGGCGTAGGAAACCTCTATAAGACAAATAGTCCATACTTTGTCTTATGTTTTTAAAGAAAACTAGAGCAGACAGGAAGAAATGAAGAACAGATCCTGACAGAGGAAGAGGAATCGATTGGGGAAAGGTAAGTTCGGCATGACAGTACAGCTTTAAACAGAATTTGCAATAAAGTATAAACTTTAGAAGACTCTTTAGAGGAAGTGTTTAGGAAGGCTGTGTACATCACATGCCGGGAGATGTGACTAGGGCTGCATAAATAGTTATTTAATGCCTAAATGGCAGGTAATTGAGCAGTGAAACTGCAGGGGCATGATCTGTACACCAAAACTGTCATTAATCTAAAGTTGTTTTGGTCACTATAGTGTCCCTTTTTAATTTATGTTGACTTACTTTTCCTGAGCTGGACAAAACTGAATTTTTATTTTTTGTGTGCATTTATACATGTAGTTTACATCAAATTAAAGCCCCTTCTATGCTTTAAAAACTATATATAGTATGTGTTGGTGCAATAAATAATTTTTTAAAAATGCAAATTGCGGTTGACCACTAACAGCAGAAAAAAGAGAAAATTGCTCATTTTAGAAGCTGCGTCGTTAAAGTGAACATTTCATGTGATGTATACATACACACCAGTTTGGTTTTTTTGCTTTTCAAGTTCTAATTTTGACAAAGATCTAAATCTGTAAATAGGTTTGCATATTTCATACATAGGTTATAACACTTATTGCAGTTAAAGTGATACTTTTCATGTCATTGGTATCTTGTTTAATAATAAGCAGTCAGAAGAATTTCATGTGCTACAAGATTATGTTCTAAGCACAAAAAGTACTAATTAAAAAGGTCTTGAATGCCCCAATGTGACAAAATACCCTGAAGTTTTATTGAGCACCAAACCATATTGGGGTATTCCTCCTACCATGCTTTTATTGTACTGATTCATATCAATATATTTGATATCTACGTAATCTGGTTACAGTAAACAACTTATTCTTGTTTGAAATATTTTTTTTTTTTTCCCTCCTTCAGAACAAATCTTTCAAAATTTAAGGCAAGAATATACACGCTATCATAGGCGGAGGCAGTTAGTAGGAGCTTTCAATCATGTTGAAGCTGGGCCTTCAAGTGAGGTGCAAACAAGCTGTTCGACTCTCACAGCTCCAGCCTCTCCAGGTAAACTAAAACTGTTGTCTTTCATCATATGTTATACTGACCGTGAATGTGTAATGCCTTTTTAGTCTGTTGCCTGAATACTGCAATGCTTGTATCATCTTCGCTCTTGTTGTAAAGTCTTGCTTTGATTGGGCATCACTCCTGCCATTCAATTTTACAGGTTCGCTGGGAAAGAAGGACCAGCCAACCTTCAGCCTGCGACAAGTTGGAATCCTCTGTGAACGCCTTCTAAAGGACCATGAGGACAAAATAAGGGAAGAATACGAGCAGATTCTTAACACAAAGCTAGAAGGTCAGTTCCATAAACTGTATCAAACTATATAAGCATCCTGTGTTTAAACTTAACTTGTGAAGGGATTCTGAGTGGGCATATGCGTTCAACAAAGAATCACCTTTTTACCTCATTTAATTTTAAACATTGATTCCTTGGCGTTTGTTTGCAGTATACAACAGCTTTGAAACGAGATTCAAAGCCAGTGAACCACTCATGGACAGCTGTTTTGTTAATACAACTCATCAGCATGTGGTTGATTACTGGCTTCCTAGTGAGGCTTGTCGTTCCTTGCGAAGCACAAACCTAGAAAGTTATGGTGTATAAACTACATTCTCTTGGGATAAATGCTTGATTTTCTGAAAGTCCTACTCCCCCATTTACAGGAACAGTCATGCTGTAGCAGTTGTACTGCCAGGAGTGCCCTGCTGCAGCCTTATTGTAAGTAGTCAAACTGTTTTAGAACATCTTATCTGGGCTCCACCAATTCTTTCGGAGAGGCAGAAGCTCCTAAGCAGGAGTTTTTGTTTGCTCATTTGAGCTGAGCCTTGCACTGCCAGACTTGGCTCATATAGAAAGCTTCTGGCTCTCAGCCTGAAGTGGTGGAGGCGGACAGTGCTACCTGGGAAACGTCATTTAAGCTGTCAAACATTTCTACAGTGGTTTGAATTCTAACTGGGGGAGGCAGTACAGGCATTCCTGGCACCTTAACCAGTACAGGCTGATCAAGTTGTGATGGTGCTTGGCGTATGTCTTTAAACATTCAGCTTGCTAGCCAGATCTCCTCAAAAAAAAAAATTAAAACTCCTTTTAATCCTCATTGATAAAGGAGAGAGAGAGAGGTTTTTTATTTATTTTTTAAGATTGTGACTGAGACGTGGTCGTGGGAGGTGTATTGGATCAATGCTGATGTATTTTATACCTTTACTGGCACTTCATCATTGTTTCTTGACGCAGCTATATTCTGTTTCACCTAATTGCTACCCGAAAAGCTGGATGTTATGACCGTGTTAGCTGGCAGAGATAGTCTCTAAAAGTATAGTTAAATCTTAGAGATGCACTTTTGTTACATTATTCACTAAATTAGGGATGGCATCTCATTGCTTTTGGGAGAAAATCGATGGAAGATCCTAAGCTCCTATGAGAATGCACATGCTGACAAGTCACTTTGGCGAATGGGCAGTTAGTACATGTAAAATGTCATGTACCATACATAAAATAAACTAATAAACCTAAAGGAGACTTCATCGAGGAGGAAAGGGTGAGAACACCGAGCAAGCATGAATATATGTAGACCAGTTCAAGCCTGTCAAATTGTAATCTAGTCACATTAAATATCCCACACTTTATGGAACAAAGATAGTGTTAATTTATCCTTGAAATTTTTTATTTTTTTTTGCTGTCTTTAGCCAAATATGGGGTGAGTGTCTTTAAAGCGGTTCTGTTAACACCCAGTAATCAGATCCCCAGTGGCCATGTCACTGTTGGATGTATTTGCAAATTATGCAGGGTTCCCAGACTGCTACAGTTCTGCTTTAGGGAAATTGGTTGCAGGGTAATATTTAAACAAACACATTTTTATTTTTTGTTTACTGGTTGAGAGGTTTTGATTGGTTATGACAACCGGCAGGTCCATGAGTCCAGATTGATAGCAGCCGTACCACTTTTTAACACTGATTTTATGTTAAAAAAAAAAAAAAAAAATACATTTTTATAAATATATATATGTAATCCAGCGCACACGCTGATTCACTAAACAGCAATTTCACGTTTCTTTTTCTTTATCAGAATTTTGATGTGTAATTACCATGAATACATCTGCTTGAAATAATCATGTGTTTTTGTCATGCATGTTTGATTTGCTCTCACTTTTGTTGTAGAACAATATGAATCCTTTGTGAAATTCACACATGACCAAATAATGCGACGATATGGGGCAAGGCCTGCAAGCTGTAAGTAACATACATATGTGCATAAAATTGCAATGGTCTTGAATAGTCCTTGATAGTGTTATATTGAGCTTTACTTTTTATTTATTATTTAACATTCCAGTGTTTGCATTCTTTTGACTCAAATCCAGAATTTGTATTTCTGGCCCTAGGATATAACCCCATCCTGCCCATTCTATTTCTTTCTTCTTTATATATATAAAAAAAAATCTATCTCTCTTTTTTTACATTTTGTTCTATGTATTTTAATTCTCTTCTTCACTTTAACGCTCTACCTTCCCATTTATTCCAACCCTAATGAAATCCTGCATTTCATTTTCCTGAAATAGTCACCAGAAAAAAAGCAATGCAATGTATCTCTAGGTAAAGAATGCATTTCCTTTTATTTCTTAAAGGGACACTAGAGACACCCAGACCACTCTTATTGCAGTGGTCTGGATGCTCTACCCCTGTCCGTTTAATCCTGCAATGATAATTATTGCACTTACTGAGAAACTGCAATAATTACATATCAGGGTTAACGCCATCTCTACCAGACCGCTAGAAGACGCGCTTCGAGACTTTAGGCAACTTTTGGTAGCCTAACTGATGCTGGATGCCCTACCACAATGCCTGAGGATATCCAATTTTGGTTAGAACCCCATAGGAAATTCTCTGTGCTTTCCTATGGATTATCCTAATGCGATCACGCCGCTTGCCGTGCTTGCAAACTAGGTCCCCGATGTGGGACAAGGAACGAAGGGGGAGCCTGACCCAGCAGATTCAGTGTAGTAGGGTTCCTCAACACTCTCCTCAAGGCACACTTTACAGTCCAGTATTTAGGGATTACCTGGATGTATCTAAGGTATTTAAAAAAAATAAATAAAAAAAACTCCTTGGAATCTAAGGTGGTTTTTTCTAAACACCCGTGTAATCACTAAATCATGGACTGTTAGGTGTGCTTTGAGGAGCACTGCAGTTAAGTGACATAAGGGTTTTTAAAGGTATATAAATTAGGCCAAACAAATTATTGGAAAATTCCTGGCTTGCAATCACACTTTGTCCTACAGGCTTCAGTTGGTGGTAGGTATATGTAACAAAACAGAAAATGACTAATGATAGTGCAGAAGGATTTGTTTATTCACACTTAATAGTGTTATAGCCCAGCTCTCTGTTAAACCGCGTTCAGTGGTATAATCCCCACTCATGGATTTGCAGCTTTAGGAAGTCCGTCTGACAGCATCCAAATGGGGAGAGAGATATATAGATGATATTTTTCATTAAAAAAAAATAAAAATCAAACAATAGTACTTGCTGTGTTAGAACCAAAATCAGGTAAAAGTAAATTGTAGTCTTATGCACATTTTGAAGAACAGTGACACCGTTCAGATAGTACCACTTGTGTGTTATGATCCCCACCAGGAATATAATGTAAAGGAGTTGCTCCAGAAAACAGTTCAGGAGTAGAGTAGATACTTCAGGAGTAAACATGTGCCAGGAACAGTAAAAATAATATATAAAAAAAGCAAAAAAATTTAATAGCCAAATATACTTTTAATGTTAAAACCATGTTAAATGTTAAAACAATATTAAACTAAACACAAAGCATTTAGCAAAACTGTTTTTTTTTTTTTTTTTTTTCTCTTCAGGTGCAAACTGTTTATTTTAATGGTTTTAAGCATTGAAGTATATCTTTTTCCTTCCTTCCCCGTATCCCCTTTTTGTTATGTATTGTTTTGTTCTCTCTGCAGTAAAGGGTTTTTAGGGTACCCTTTACATTTAGTGTTTGCATTTTTAGTGTTACATTTTTGCTTATATTAGTTGATTCCATAGCACTTATCCAAACCTTTGTGATTATTATAAAGGTTTTTAGCACTTTCATCATCATGGGGGGGTGGGGGGAGGAGTGAGTGAGAGGGGCACTATAGGCTAAGGATACAATTTGTTTTTTATTCCTAGCCTACAGTTTCCCTTTAACTCGTAGTTGTAAAATATGATTGAAAAGAATTACATTTAATATGTTGTTTCTTTCCAGATGTATCCTGAAGATTCCTTTTGCTGGGTTGCCATTTGTGACTTCATATTGCCACCTGCGTGTTGCCACTGTTTTATTTTTAACTTTTTTTTTTTTTTTTTGTCATCCAGAGAATTTTAATGGCTTACCCTTCAATTCTATTAAAAAAGCGCAAAAGAAGACTTAAATAAAACTTCCAACTGCTTACATGGACTTTTTTGGGGGGTGTTTTTCCGCAGCCTTTTAAATTACTTCATCTGGCCACATACTTCCCTTAATAGCATTGAAAACATGGACAATTTACTTTTGAGTGATAATTCTCCTTTATTTTGCAGATACTTTTGACTGTGTTTGATGCACTACGTTATGATTAAATCATATTTGGGTCAGGTATACCCTATTAAAAACACATTAAGGATGATGCAGGTTATTAAAGGGACATTCCATTGCCCAGGTACCAAAAGAGAATTAAAAAAAAATATATATTCATCCAGTGAAATGTGCATTCCTTTTATTATGCCTTTTTCTCATTGGTGTGAATCTAAAAACCGCTTGCAAAAGACTCCGATCTCATGTTTTCAGCCTCTGCAAGCCTTCTAACCAAACTCAGACATTCTGTGGCTGTCCAATCACTGACTTGCCAATACAGCTCAATGAGAAGTCTTTGAACGGCAGGTACTCTGGGTATTTACATGCCTCTTGAGTTTAGCTCCACTGCGCTTAACAACCAGGAGGTAACAGGACCTGTTGCCTGATTGACAGCCAGTAGAATATCAAAGGTTAATTTACAAAATTGCCCATTTCTATTGAAATCTGCATTTTGTAAAATGAAGACACTCTCTCTGCACATAAAGCATTCCAGCAAGTTAATGTGTTTGGAGTGAACCTTTTAATTGAGTATAGTAGTGATGATGTAATTTTATTGCTGTACACGTAAACATACCTACTTGCTCTCAAATCTGTGTAAAACTGTATACACCTCTTTGTTATAGAAACAGATTTATACAAAGCGTGTCCTTTAAAACCTATTGGGGTAAACTTTAATATATATAATTTTTTTTTTAATTTTTTTTATCAACCTGGAGTGTTGCATGTCTAACTTGTTAGGTAGGAGAGATTGATATAGTGTAAGTGTTCATTCTGGGACATACTTTTAAGAAGTTATAAAAAGCATAGGGACCTCTGCCTCAATTGTACAATTTTTTTTTTTTTTTTTTTTTTTTTTTTTTTTTGTAATGTTGACATAATTAAATCAGCCTATTTTACAAAGTATGATTTCCATTTCCCAGTTCTTTTTATGCAGACAAGCCCAATTCTAAAAGGAAAACTATTCTATTCAGAGTCAATTTACTTATTTAATATGTATATGATTGGTAACACTCCTTATGTAATATTTTGTTGCTTTGTAATTTGTCATATGTCACACCTCACCTTCCAAATAAATGATCTTAATAAATACAATACCCATGAAATAAGTTATAATCTTTTAAAACTATATATATCTTATGATCTACATATTTGCTGTTGTGCATATGTATTCTAGAAGAGATTGTTATATATAATTTTTTTTTCCACTCACTATATTAAACGTTGCTGGTTTTTCTTTTTTGAAACTGCTAGTTTCATGACAATTTTTCATCTAGCCATGTAAATTGGTATAGTCACTTAAATCATGCCCAATTAACGTTAAGAATTAATACAATGTAAGCTATATTGGTGACATCTAAAAATGTTCTGTGCTATTGTTTAATGGTAAAAATTCTATTAGTCTTTACTCCATCAGGATGCTGAGTCCACAGAGAATTCCCCTGCCATGCTGAAAAAAATGCAGAATTTTTGTTTAAAGGACCACTATAGTGCCAGGAGAAAATACTTGTTTTCCTGGCACTATAATGCCCTGAAGGTGCCCCCACCCTCAGGGTCCCCCTCCTGCTGGGCTGGATGGAGAGGAAGGGGTTAAATTTTACTTTTTCCACCACCGGGCTCTCCTCCTCCTTTCCCTGTTATCGGCTGCATGCGTGTCAAGAGCCGCACGTGCATTCAGCCAGTCTCAGGAAAACATTCTCAATGCTTTCCTATAGACGCTGGCGTCTTCACTGAAAATCAGTGAAAAGCGCAGAAGCGCCTCTAGTGGCTGTCAATGAGACAGTCACCAGAGGCTGGAATAACCCTAATGTAAACATGGCAGTTTCTCTGAAACTGTTATGTTTACAGCAGAAAGGGTTAATCCTAGGTGGACCTGGCACGCAGACCACTTCATTATTATTTATATAGTGCCATCACATGCTGTAGTGCTGTACATTAAGCTGGTCTGGTTGCCTATAGTGGTCCTTTATATTCAATACGTACACATTCTGGGATTGTCACTCCTCAACAGATTTTAACATTAAGAGTAATAAAGTGGAATATTCGTAGAGCTCAATGTAAAATTGCAACAGTAGAGGAAAAGAGCATTTTCTTTTTATTTAACTTTTTTCTTCTCTACGTTTCCTTCCATTTACCAATGTTTTAAATACTGTTTTGTTTTCCCCAATAGAGGATCTTTACATTATATTTTATATATTGAAGTGCAAATAAAAGTTCTCCGTCCGGGTTAGGGAAAAAGTAAAACCCCACTATGTTTTGACAGCCTTTAGAATTGCAATGCATCATGGAAGTTGCAGACATCTACCCGACCTATGTTATTTGGTTAATGTGCATTTAGAATTCATTCAACCTATTTGTATTCCACCAAGTATAGTCATCTTTGAAATTTCCAAGGAATTTGTATTGTTCAGGTCTGTAGATAATAGCTGGTTTTTGGTATCTGGATGATGTGACTGGGAGGTAGATGGTAATACACATATCTCTAAACTTAGACAAGTGTTTAACACATCTGCTGATACTGAATGTTGTATGATCTAGATTCAAATCTTATAGCCATTACTAACAGTGCATGTGTTAACACACTGGTTGTATACATGATGATTAACCCTAAAACTGGTTATAAAAGTATGTAGTCTACGTGGATTTTAGAACACTTTGATATACCAATCAAACCTATACCTCTTTATTTTTACAATGAAATGACTGCTTTGAAACATATACTTGTGATTATTATTGAATGCATAACGGACATCTGCGTTAATTGGTATAATTATGTTTAATCTATATGTGCATTTGTTGCATTACTCATTTGACAATGATTCGATTCGTCCAGAACCCAAAAAAGTTTGACTGCTTTGTGATTTGAGTTACTTTGCCGCTGGGCAAAATGTTTCTCCAAATTAATTGATTCATTTATAGACAAATGCAATGAATACATATTTATACTATTTAATTCCTTTCTGGGATGCCTGTCAGAAATATTAGATCCCTCAGAATGAAAGTAACCATGTTCTAGTAACACAAATCAATCAACAACTAGCTAAAATGCCCCCCCCCCCCTTCCTTGCCAGTTTCTTCTTGGCCTGTAGATAAGGTATCTTTTTAATCAGGAAGTCCTAAACTGTACTAGATTGGATTTGGAAAATTCAGCTTTCTTTTCCACAACTTTCTATAACGCATGAGCCGTCTGTATTCTGAATGTTTTCAATGATTTTGAATTCTGAATGTGTACACCTTGTGTTTCAATAAATAAAACTAAATTTTGTATTCTGTACATGTTTAGAACATGTCAAATATTTTTCGGGCTGCTTGTTTTCAGAACCCTCTAATATACAAATACATTTGACATGTAGTACAGCCAAGCCCCTAAAAATAATTTAAAATCTATATTGTTTCAACAAAAGTTTTAAACATATTAATAGTTTTGGCATTTAATATATAGCATAGAGAAACAATATCACAATTTGTGATGCCAGATAACCGAGTAATGCGAAAAACAAAAGCCAGAATATGTAAATATACTTAAGCGTGGAAAGCTATTATCTTTGGAACTTTTTTTTTTTTTTTCTCCTGTAAACTATATAACCAGTGGTTGGAATTTTTTCTTTTTTCTCTTAATATACCTTTTTTATCTAGGCTGAGTAAAATTGTGAATGTGTGCCAGTTATGAATGTAGAGTGTTGAAAAGCAACGCTTTGCCGAATCAGAGATGATATTAATGTGTGTGTATATGCCTTTCACAATCCGTTAAAATTTTTATTGGATAAGTATGGACACTTTGTTTCTGTCTCCACATATTGATACCTTATTAATGAATGTTTGCCTCACCTAACCAAAAACGCAAACCTTACTTTGTAAAAAAAAAAAAAAAAAAATGTATGTAGTGTAAGCAAATCTTAGTTGCAAACTAATAAAATACTTAAGAGTGTCTCTGTGTTTAAGTGTGTGTGCTGGATAGATCTGTTGGGTAAACATCTCAAAATACAGTGCATGTCAAAATGCGCGAAATGTATGGTGGTGTCTACAAATCTCCAAATTTCACTTCTAAAAGTTGGCCACCAAAATGAATTCTCATTCCTTTTCTTCAGTTTGGTGCAAATGCATTTTCAATCTTTCTTACTTATCACAATTTATGTTGTTTTTTCTGGCTATTCTACATGACCGGAATCGTTCATTAGCAATTCAGCATACTTAATAAAAGCCCCTCTCCACCCTGAACACGTCTTAAATAAACTATAGCTTGTCTAGTAGGGAGGGAGTGTGATGCTGACGTGTAGAATAGCCAGGAAATGAAAATTATGGTAAAAGTGAATTTTTTTTCCTTTACTGGGTAAACATGGTTGCATCAATTCAATGAAGAGTGGGAAAATAAAAACCATAACAGATGTATGCAAAACAAACAGTTATTAGTGTCTTAAAGGGACACTATAGTCACCAGAACAACTACAGCTTATTGAATTTGTTCTGGTGAGTAGAATCATTACCTTCAGGCTTTTTGCTGTAAACACTGTCGTTTCAGAGAAAATACAGTGTTTACATTAGAGCCTAGTAATAACTTCACTGGCCACTCCCCAGATGGCTGTTAGAGATCCTTCCGGTCATGGCTGCCTAAAAGGCATCCAAACATTCAGTATCTCCTCCCTCTGCATGCATGCATACACTGAACTTTCCTCATAGAGATTAATTGATTCAATTCATCTCTATGAGGAGATGCTGATTGGCCAGGGTTGTGTTTGAATTGTGCTGGCTCTGACCCGGATCTGCCTCTTTGTCAGTCTCTGCCAATCCTACCACTTCTGATGTCAGCAGACTACTTGTTTTTCTGAGTCGAACAGCATGCAGATCTACAGCTACTGGCTTGAATACAGTAAGATTTTGATATATTTATGGAGGCATGAGTGGGCCACGGGGGCTAGATGGTGGTTTTAACACTATAGGGCCAGGAATACATGTTTGTGTTCCTGACCCAATAGTGATCCTTTAAAGAAATCCCTTTCTCAAAACAAGAGTCGTTAGATGAAGGCAAATACAGGTAGTAGTATTTTACAGATGAAGACAACTTGCACTTTTTGCCATAGAAGCCTATGATGTTGCTAAACTTCCAGTTAAATGCAGTTTAATGTTTGTGGTGACCCTGATAAGAGTAGGCTTTAGTAATAGTCATCAAGATCCATATCCTCAAGGTGGCTATGGAGGCTGCTTCCCCTTTCCTAATTCCCGATGAAAGAATGAATATTCTGATTTTGTTTCTATTGGATCTTTTGTAGATAAAGGGCCGGAGGCATCTAATCACATCCACTTTGCTCCAGTTTTTCTTTTTCTTATGGCGTACGTGGATTAGAAAAGAAAGATTGGAGTACTGATGAATATGGAATAGGAATACCACTTTTAGACGCGTCAGGCCTGAAAATTAACATCATCCGATCTTGATGTATAAGGTTGAAACTCTATTGCCTGATGTAATTGCAATCGTCACTGCCGACTGATGCTGTGACCGTCTTTGAATCCTGACAAGAGTTGAGCGAACCCGGACAGTACTTTTTTTTTTTTTTTTGGACTCCGGACCCAAACACAGACATATCACTGTATGTTCGGGTAGGAGTTTGGCGAGTTAATGGCGCGTTTTGAAAGGCTGTCAAAGGCAATCAACAAGCGTGTGCCCTTAGAAGCCATCACAGCCATGCCTACTAATGGCATAGCTGTGATTGGCCAGTGCAGCATGTGACCCAGTGTGTGTGTGTGTGTGTGTGTAAAAGCTGGAGTAGCGCCGCACGCACCTGAGGTCTTATTAGTGTAGGGAGAGGATGCTGCCGCTTTCAGGGACAGATTAGGAAATTAATTCTGCAAACTAGTACATTAGTGGGGTGCACTTCATATCTGAGAGTCAAATAGTGCGCTTACAGCGCAGTTGTAAACATTCTAATTGTTTTGCTGCTAAACTGTACATTTTGGGCATGCTCTTCATATCGGAGAGTCCGATACAAGCGTCAAATAGTGCACTTACAGCGCAATTGTAAACATTCTTATTTTCTGGGTGCTAATCTGCAACATAGCACATTAGTGGGGTGCTCTTCGTATCTGAGAGTCAAATAGAAGCGTCAAATAGTGCGCTTATAGTGCAGTTGTAAAAATTCTTATTTTCTGGGTGCTAATCTGCTGAATAGTACATTAGTGGGGCGCACTTCTTATCTGAGAGTCAAATAGAAGTGTCAAATACTGTGGTTACATCGCACTTTAAAAAAATACTAATTTTTTGGGTGCTAAATAGTACATCTGCGGCCTGCAGGGCATTTCTTGCAGTCCAATAAAAAAAAATTGTTGACTATTGGCTGTTATATTGTCGCCTGATATAAAACATCTGTTAGTTTGGTGGGTGAACGCAAAGAATAAGGAGAGCATCTTGGTGCTGCTGGTATTGGTGGAATCCCTGTTGCAAGGAGAGGACGTGGTCGATCTGTGCCAGCTACAAGCACAAGTGAAACACCTTCCTCGTATGCGAATACGCGACAGAACATTCAGCGTTATTTGGTAGGCCTGAATGCCGCTCTATGAATAGTGATGCCAGAACAAGTACAGGCGATAGTAGATTGGATGTCTGACACTGCCTCCAGTTCCTGCACATTGTCTCCAACCCGGTCCCCTTCTGAAAGTTCAGAGTTGGCACCTGCAGCCCATGGCCATCTGTCTTTCACCTCACCCCCTTGCAAATCAGCCAAGCAGTCTGAGCCACAAGTCATGCAGCAGTCTCTTTTTGATGACTCTGCTGGTGGGTTTTCCGTGGGCCATCCACCTAGCCCTGCCTTAGAAGTGGAAGAGATTGAGTGCACTGATGCACAACCACTTGTGTCAGGATGTGGACAGCAAGGACCACCGCAGCACGTCTCTGATGATTACAAAACACAGGTGCCAACTGCTGTGGTTTTTTTCGGCAGTGTGCAGACCGGCAAGGAGGGCAGGGTTGAGGAGTGGGTGGAAGATGATGTGGAGGATGATGAGGTCCTAGACCCCACATGGAAGGAAGGTCATGCGAGTGACGTGTCCAGTTTGGAGGAAGAGGCGGTGGTCGCACAGAGGCACCAGCACAGCATAAGAGGGTGCAGGGTGCAAAAGCGGAGCAGCCATCCCCTAGACGGTACGCCTGCTACTGCCCACCGCACCCAGGGACCAAGCACACCAAAGCCAGTTCCAAGGAGTTCCCTGGCATGGCAGTTCTTCAGACAATGTGCTGACGACACGACACGAGTGGTTTGCACGCTGTGCAATCAGAGTCTGAAGCGAGGCATAAACGTGCTAAACCTAAGCACAACCTTCATGACCAGGCATCTACATGCAAAGCACGAGCTGCAGTGGAGTAAGCACCTCAAAAACCAAAAAAGGTCTCAGGCTCTTCCTGCTTCCTCTTCTACTGCTGTCTCTTCCTCCACCTCTGGAGTCACAGTGGCACCTGCCACCCTGCAAACAGAGGATGTGGCAGCAACGCCACCACGTCCGCCACCGTCTCAAAGCATCTCCACACTGTCCCATGGAAGCGTTCAGCTGTACATCTCCCAAACACTGGAGAGAAAGAGGAAGTACCCCCCTAGCCACCCGCGATCCCTGGCCCTGAATGCCAGCATTTCAAAATTCATGGCCTTTGAAATGTTGTCTTTCCGTCTGGTGGAGACGGACAGTTTTAAAAACCTGATGGCGGTGGCTGTCCTACAGAACGTGGTTCCCAGCCACCACTACTTTTCCACGTGAGCCATCCCTTCCCTGCACAACCAATTGGCGGACAAAATCAGGTGTGCACTGCACAACTCCAGTGGCAAGGTCTACGTAACCACAGATACGTGGACCAGTAAGCATGGGCAGGGACGCTATATCTCCCTAACTGCCCACTGGGCAAATGTAGTGGTGGCCGGGCCTGAGGCAGATAGCAGTTTGGCGCATGTCCTTCTACCACCGAGGATTGCAGGGCATGTCTCTTTGCCTCCTACTCCTACTCCGCTTCCTCCTCCTCTACCACCACCTCATCCAGGCAGCGTAACACCTTCACCACCAACTTCAGCACAGCCAGGGGGAAACGACAGCAGGCTGTTTTAAAACTCATATGTTTGGGGGGGAAACCCCACACCGCGCAGGAGCTGTGGACGGGCATGGAACAACAGACAGATGAGTGGTTGTTGCCACTGAGCCTCAAGCCCAGCCTGGTGGTGTGCGATAATGGGCGAAATCTCGTAGGAGCTCTGGGCCTAGCCGCACATCCCTTGCCTGGCGCATGTGCTGAATTTGGTGGTGCAGAAATTCCTGAAAAACTACCCAGATATATCAGAGCTGCTGCAGAAAGTGCAGGTCGTCTGTGCATACTTTCAGTGTTCTCACCCTGCTGCTGCTTGCCTATCTGTGCTGCAGCGTAACTTCGGCCTTCCCGCTCACCGCCTCATATTCGACGTGCCCACAAGGTGGAACTCCACCTTGCACATGCTGGAGAGACTGTGCGAGCAGCAGCAGGCGATTGTGGAATTTCAATGCAGCACGCACAGGTCAGTTGCTCTGCGGAATAACACCACTTCACCACCAATGAGTGGGCCTCCATGCGAGACCTGTGTGTCATTTTGTACTGTTTCAAGTACTCCACCAACATGGCTAGTGCCGATGACGCCATTCTCAGCCTTACTATCCCACTTCTATGTCTCCTTGAAAAAAACGCTTCGGGCGATGATGGAAGAGGATGTGGCACAGGAGGAAGAGGGGTAATTTCCACGGTTATCAGGATAGTCATTCACAAGTGGCTTGGTTTCTGCACCAGCATAGGCCAGGTACACAACTGTCCAGCCAGGGCACAGTTCTGGAGGATGATGAGGAGGAGGAGGAACCGTGTTCACAGCAGGGTGGCACCCAACGCAGCTCTTGGGCATCACTGGAGTGTGGCTGGGGGGATACGGAG